TTTTTTTTTCTGTTTATTTAAAAAAAAGGAGAATAAGATAAGTGGACCATTTTAAATCTCTTTTACTAGTATTGAATAATAATTTAATTTGAATTGGAAATTTCGTTCGGAATAAACAAAAGAATATAATTAGAGTCTATCGATTTCAATTGTTAAAATATTTTAACCTCAGAGCATCGCCAGTTCACTTTTAAGTCAAATTGTGTCTCGAGAGATTTCGTCTCCGAATAATACACGACTACGTCTGCATTTCAGACAAGTCTAAATTCTGAATAGAAACTATTAACGTCTCGAGTGTTAAAAATCAATCATTCAGGAAAAATTTTCTTTCCTAAAAATACGAATTCCACAATTTAAATTAGTTTCCCAAAATAAATAACAATAAAACAGTGAAATAATATTTAATACCTATATAAATAATAAAAGTAAATAAAAATAATTTATTTATTGAGATAGACAATAAAATAAATTAAAATAATGACTGAAATTCTTAGTTTTTAGAAGTATTTTTGGACCAAAAGTCAAGTCCCGTAAATAAATAAATAAAAATAATAAAATCAATAAATATATAAATAAAATTAAAATACACAATAGAAATAAAATAAAAGGTTCGTAAAATTAAATTTCCCTTTTATATAGAACATGATGCAAATAATAATAAAACCGAGTGTGAAGAAAAAAAATATCTGAATTTAACGATCCTAAAACAGAACTATATACTATTGTATTAACAACTTTTGTTGAAAGTGATTTGAAAGTTTTTTTTTTTTTTTTTGAAAAAAAACCGTCTCGAATAAAAAAGAGTATGGAAACACTCTCGAGTTTTCAGGCAGCTGTATTTTATAAAGACGAACAGTAATGGGATATTTTTTCACGTCTGAAAAGAACTAATCGTAAATCTTGTGTCGTTGAACATTCTGGTTCGCAATTTGTAGAAGACTTTTTTTTACACTATTACACTTAAGGATCGGCAAGAATTACAACTTTCATCGAAGCCAAAGAATTACAAATGTTCAATGTTTTCTCAACTAAAAAATATTTTCACCCGATACCACGATTAGTTATTATCAATTTCTTTACTATCTCCATTTTTCTATTTTAGAAACATTGATATTTATTCTCCCGCAAATATAAAAATATTGTAACAATTTTCGTATTTAATATCGGTTTAAATATTATATTAAATAAAATATATAAATCAATTCAATACAATTAAGAGAAATTTATTAAATATTTATGCATATATTGAATATTTATTTCATTTGTTATCTATATAAACACAGTGGAAAATTTGGGTCGACTGAATATTTGCTACCACTTTTCTACGCAAATATAAATATATAAATAAATATAAATATAAATATAAATATAAATTCAAAATCCAACTTTAAAATAAAATTAAAAATAAAATAAAAAATGAAATTAAAAATTAAATTTTAATTAGAAATCCAAATGTAAAATTAAATTAAAAATTTAAAATTCAAATGAAGAGAGTACCAATAATGCAGGATAAAAAATAAAAAATTCATAATTGTTTGAAGTTTAAATAATTCCGATTCATTATAATATTGTAATAAAAGATGCAAGAGGAAAAAAAATGATAACTGCGAGATTTTAGCTTTTAGACGCCTTGTGATAATTAATTCACAAAAAGTATTTTCATTTAATGAGTGACTAATCGTATCATGTGCTGTGCTTGTAGAAAAAACCGTATTCACGGGGGACTCGAGCTTTCTGCGTACTGCAGTGCAGTACCTTGTAACATGATAAAATATTTATAATGCTCTACATCAACAGCTTTGAACCTACTGAATAAAAATAAAGAGCACAAAGCATAAGGGTATTGAAGTAAGAGTTGTTGCTTTTAAAATTATACACACACACACACACACACTACTTTTGTACATTAATTGAAATATACATAATCACCAATTCAAAAATAATACTTATATTATAATTACATTATTTTAATTTGCTTGTAATTTTTTGTCTGTAAAAAAGAAATTCTCTAAAAAAATTATAATGAATTTTTCCTATTAGAGGAACTTCAAATAATACGTAATGATTTTTTTGTTGTTGAAAATTTTACCTCCTCTTCTTCTGTTTTATACAGTGATGCCACTTTTTCTACTTGACCCCCCCCCCCTTCCCCCCTAATTACGATTTTTTTTATTTTGTCAAAAAAATTTTATAGTTTTATTTTTAAATTCTATTTTATGAAAATACTACGAGAAGAGGCAAATTTTAGCCCTCGAATAGACGTTAATTTACGAGAAAAGTATTATTAGTCGATTAATAATGGAAATAAAGTAAACAAAAATTATTTATTTTATTCAGGGTTGTAATAAAAATTTAATTTTGAATTTATTTGATTTTTACCTTACTTTTCGAAAAGTTTTAAATTTTTCCCTTATTCTACATAATAATTTTAATTCTAAGTTTTTCTAAAATTCAATTATTTTTCTAGTTTTTCACTTTTTTCTTGAAAAAGACATTATTCAAATGTCCAAATAATTGAAATTCTAAACTCAATTATTCAAAACTTGAATAATTTTGATAAATAAATATTTAAATACTTAGAGTAATATAATTTTCCACAGGAGGATAAAATTTTCAAAACTTTCAGTTTACTTTTTCGAGATTCAAATATTTTTCAGAATTATCAATTAAAATTAATTTCTAATTAAATTATTTTTAAATTTTTGAGCAAGTTCTTTGATGTTAAAAATTCAATTATTTTCAATTTAATTTAACAAAATTTCGATTAGTCGAAATTTTTTTAATTGAATATTAATAACGAAAAATTTCAAAAAATTACTAATAAATGAGGCTCCGGATCTTAAAAGGACACTTTCCGCATAGACTTTACATGGTGAAAGTGCCCTTTTCAGATCCTGAGCCTCAAATAACTAATTTTGAAAAAATTTGATTTAAAACTTTTTTGGACAACTAAATTGTTTAAAATTTTTAATTAAAATTATTCAAAATTCAAATCTTGACAAATTTCAAGTCAAATCTTTTAAAAATTGAATTATTTATAAAACTTTCAGTTAAAAGTATTAAAAAATTCAAACTTTCAAAAACAATGATTTGAAACCTTTTCAAAATTCAATTATTACTAAAAATTCACGCTATAATACTTTCTCTTTTAATTAGAATTAATAAAATTGTTTACTAATTGGAATTAGTGACTGAATTTTTTGCTTTTGAATTAGTAAATTTTACTATTAAATTAGTAAAAACGAATATATATATATATATTAGTAAAATCTGCTAATTGAAAAGCAAAAAGTCAGTCACTAATTCAAATTACAAACCATTTTTACTAATTCAAATTTAGAGAGTTTAATATTCAATTATTATTTAAAATTTTAACTGAAATTCATATTTAAATCAATTTTCATTAGAAAAATCTGCGAAAATTCCATCATTTAAGTACAAAAAAAAAATTTATTGAATAATTGAATGTTTCTTAAAATAATTGAACTCTTATAAAGAATTTTATCAACAAATTTTTAAATAATTAAAATTCGAATTTTAATAAAATCTCTGTAAAAAATTTGATTGAATTGAAAAAAGTTTTTGAAAATAATTGAAATTTTGACAGGAATATTATTAAATTTTATGAAAATAATTGAATTTTGAAGAAGAATATTATTATTTATAAAGATAATTGAAATATTGACGAGAATTTTTTTAAACTTTTGATCATAATTGAATTTCTGCGAAGAATTTTATTATAGTTTTGAAAATAATTGAATAATCTTGAGACGAATTTTAATAATATATTTCGTTTTGAATAATTGAATTCTTTTGTGAAATTTTATTGAATTGGCAAAAAATGAAAAAAAAATTTCATTAAAATTTTTGAAAATAATTTAATTCTTTTAAGAAATTTAATTAAAAATGTATTGGCGCAATAATACTGAAATTCTAATAAATAAATTATTAGAAGGCTTTTTATAATAATTGAATTTCTTTTATGAATTTTTATGAAATGCAATTATTTTTAAGGAAAATGTATTTACATTTTTCGAGAAACTCCTTTAAAAATTTGTATTAAAAATAATTGAAATTCTGCGATGAGTTTTATTATTTATGAAAATAATTAAAAACCTATAAAGAATTGTATTATTCATGAAAATAATAATAAATAACGCTGATCAAAATATATTGTATTTATTGACATAAAACAATTTTACTGTATAACTTTGATGATTTTATTTTTTTGCAATATACAAAGTAAACACCAGGTCAATTTTCAGTAGTCTGTTACATAATTTTATAATTGTTACAAATAAACAAGAAATGTAAAAAAAATTTTATTTTTTTTTTATTTTTCGAAAGTAGATAAAATTTTGTTAATAAGTGACTTAAAATCGCGATTCGATTGATGCAAAAGTCGAGTAGATTTACAATATTATTTATTGCTTGGTCACCCCGGGTGGTCAGTTAGTAGCGCGAAGGTTAAAACCATGATTTTTTCAAATTAAGAAAGTAGAGAGTATTTTTTTTTTTTAATGCTTAGTGTCGACGCCAACTTTACGGACCTAATACAAAAACAAAAATTAGAAAATAAAAATTCTAAACAAACATTAGTGATTGATAAATAAAAATCAGAGTATATATAATTCAATGTAGCTTAATAAATCTACATAAATAATTGAGTGAAAGGGTTCCACAGATTTTTGGGGAAAATCTCGCAGGGAAGAAGAGAGAGAGAGAGAGAAAGAAAAATAGTGTGATGGATAGAATATATAAGGGAGTAAGAAGAGGAAAAGTGGATGCAGGACAAAATGCGCGAGGGAAGGAGAGAAAGAAAGTTCAGCCGGACGGGAGAACTTCCGGGTGGCCACGAGCTTCTGCGACTTTTCCTCGCGGAATCCGGAGCTTGCGCGTGCTTTTCTGCGGAGGGGGTGGAGCGAACCGAACTGAGGTTAGGGGAGTTTTCGGGGCTTGTCGGGTTGCCATGGCAGCTTCCCGGCCGGGCAGCAGACCCCAGTCGTGTCGCGGCGGTTGCCGAGTGCACTCCAAGTCGCAAATTCTCGTGTGTACATACAATATATAAACTGTGATACATCACTCTTCGCTTTTCGTATAAATACTACATCAACTGTCACTTCGACTCACTTTTTTTAAAAAAGTCACTTTTTTTAAGAACCAATTTTTTCAAAATATTCACTTTTCAATACGTAAGTTCAAGAAAATAAATTCTTGCTTTTTTAAAAATTATTTACAAAAAAAAAAATATTTTTTATTGTGTGACTCTGGAATTAAGTGCAAAATTTATCATTTCTCCCCATTGTGTATTATATTCCATTTTTCAATTGTGCTCGCATTTATTTGTCATATTGTTCTGCATTGCAAATAAATAACAGTGGATTATGCAGCGATTTGGTATAAATAAAAATTTTAAATAATAAAAATAGAAATTATAAATTTTAAATAATAAAAGTTGAAATTAAAAATTTCAAATACTAAAAGTTGAAATTAAAAATTTTAAATACTACAGTTAGAAATTTTTAATTTCAAGAACTAAAATTCGAAATTAAAAATTTGAAACACTGGAAATAGAAATTAAAAATTTTAAGTACTTGTTGATTTCGAAAATATATTCTCAACTTCGGGAAAAGACAGTGGATTATACAGCAATTTGGTATAAATAAAAAATTTTAAATACTAAAATTGAATATTTTCAATATTAAAATTAAAACTTGTAGGTTTCAAATACTAAAATTCAACATTGAAAGTTCCAAATAGTAACTTTAAAAATTGTAAGTTTTAAATATTAACATTAAAAATTTTAAGTTTCAAATATTAAAATTGAAACTCTTAAGTTTTTAATACTAAAATTACAAAATTGTCAGTTTCAAACACTAACATTAAATATTGTAAGTTTCAAACACTAACATTAAATATTGTAAGTTTTAAATACTAATATTAAAAATTGTAACTTTTAAATACTAACATTAAAAATTTTAAGTTCCAAATACTAACATTAAAAATTTCAAGTTTCAAATATTAAAATTGAAATTCTTTAAGTTTTAAATCCTTAAATTGAAACTCTTTAAGTTTTAAATACTAACATTAAATATTGTAAGTTTTAAATACTAATATTAAAAATTGTAAGTTTTAAATACTAACATTAAAAATTTTAAGTTTCAAACACTAACATTAAATATTGTAAGTTTTAAATACTAATATTAAAAATTGTAAGTTTTAAATACTAACATTAAAAATTTTAAGTTTCAAACACTAACATTAAATATTGTAAGTTTTAAATACTAAAATTAAAAATTGAATGTTTTAAATACTAACAATAAAAATTTTAAGTTTCAAACACTAACATTAAATATTGTAAGTTTTAAATACTAACATTAAAAATTGGAAGTTTTCAATACTAAAATTACAAATTGTAAATTTTAACTACTAAAATTAAAAATTGTAACTTTTAAATACTGAAATTAAAAATTGTAACTTTTAAATACAAAAAATTTCAAAATACGATTTTGCAAATATTCTTATCCTGAAGGAAAAAACAGTGGATTATTCTGCAATCTGGAATAAGTAAAAAATTTTAAATACTAAAATTGAATATTTTAAATAATAAAATTAAACATTTCTAAGTTTTTAATACTGAAATTAAAAATTTTAAGTTTTAAATACTAACATTCAAAATTGTAAGTATTAAATACTAACATTAAAAATTTCAAGTTTCAAATATTAAAATTGAAACTCTTAAGTTTTAAATACTAAAATTAAAAATTGTAAGTTTTAAATACTAAATTTAAAAATTGTAAATTTTAAATACTAAAATGTCAAAAAAAAGTTGATTTCGCAAATATTCTCAACTTCGTGAAAAAAAAACAGTGAATCATGCATCAATTTAATATACAAATGAAAAATTTAAACCACAAAATTTAAAAAAAGTTAGTTTAAAAGTAATAAATACTAAAATTTAAAGCTACGAGTTATTTTTGCAAATAAATTTTTTCAACGTCGAGGGAAAAATTTAAAACATATGTTTTCCAACTTTGAGGAAAAAAATTGCAAACATATTTTTTCTCAACTTTGAGAGAAAAATATTGCAAACATTATATTTTCAACTTCGAGGGAAAAATTGAAAATATATTTTCTCAAAACTTGGAAGTAAAAAATTGCAAATATATTTTCTCAAAAACTTGAAGAGAAAAAATTGAGATGGTTTCTATTTTCAGTGAATTTGGAATTTAATAATGTTGCTATTGACAAAATCATTATACTAACAAAGGGGGCTTGTTTTTATAGTGGATGGCACAGTAGCATTTATTGTATTGGAACGATTTTGAGATCTAATTGCCTTTCCGATTGGGGGTCTGTTGTATCCTTTAGTTCAGACCTGAACGAGGAAATTAATTCGGGAACAATTGGAATAGTTTCAACGTGTAGATCATCATTGTTTCGAAAATGTAGGTTAGAGAACAGAGAATAGTTGATAATTAACCAGTGGTTCAAAGTTCAATTTCTATTCAATTCGACTTAATTTTTCAACGGTAAACAATAATTTTAAAGCAGATCATTGTTATAACACACTCGGTGTAAATAATTTGTTATATTAAAGTTCTTGGTACACTTGCAACTGTTCTTTGAATTTTAATTGTATAGTGAAAACTGAATTTTGCTTTAGTGAGAAGTTTTACTGATTTTTAATAGTTTTTTAGTTGTTTTTCACTTTAGTGAGAATCTATACTGACTTCTAGTTGCTTTTTTGTCGTTTTTCAACTTAGTGAGAATTTTTACTGATTTTTGGTCGTTTTTTAGTCGTTTTTCACTTTAGGAAGAATTTTTACTGATTTTTGGTCGTTTTCCACATTAAAACTTTGTTAAAATAAAATTAGAACTGCTAAAGAATTATAATAATTATAATGAGTAACGATTAAAAGTTCCCCCACCCTCCACTTTTTAATTTTTTTTTGTTTACTCTACAAACGTAAAATAATGATAAAATTTCATAATAACCGGCAATTCTTAATTGTTTTATGCTGATGTAGAGGAATGAATTAACATTAAATTCTAAGTTTAATAAAAGTTTTCCAATCAGAACTTACAACTAATCCAAATACGAAAGATGACGAAGAGGTCATGGTTGGCGATGATAGCTTTAAGAGATGCGAAACTTTACTTTCAATTTACCAAATTGAAAATCTTGTAGAATTTAAGTCAGTCAAGCGGAGCGTTTTAAGTAAAGTGAGAATTAAAATCAATCCAGTTTTTTTCCCTCTCCTTAAAAACGAGTTATTTTAAACAAATCTTTTTTAAAAAAAGTCTTTTAAAACTGTCATTTGAAAAATTAAAAATTACATTTAAAAATTAACGAATTAAAATTCTAAAATATTTAAATATTGAAACTTTAAATTACATGTAAAAATTAAATTCAAAAATAACGGATTCAATTTCAAAAATATTCAAATATTGAACCTTGAAGATTAAAATTGACGAAAACAATAATAATGTTTTTTTTCGAAAAAAAAACTCGGGTGATTGCTTCTTATTTTTCCGACTTGATTCAGCAGAAACGAGTTTCCAGTTCAAGAACGAGTCTATACATTTCTATCTAACGTGTCCAATAGCCGCGAGGAGATCGTAATTTTGCCCAGTCAAGTTTCTGCAATATTGTCGAATGACACTACATTTCAAAATATTCCATGTGGAAATTTCATAACTTTTTTTTTTGTTATCCACAACATGTAGTTTGTTTCACTTAAAATAGAGTTGTAAAATTTATCAGTTTTATTTCTTAGTAGAAAAACTATTTTTTTATTTTATTTAACTGCAATTTTCTTTATTTAACTGTAATTTAATTTATTTACCTGTAATTTTATTTATTTAACTGTAATTTTATTGTTTTAACTGTAATTTTATTTATTCAACTGTAATTTTAATTATTTAATGTGTGATTTTATACATTTAATCATCAACTTTCTAAATTTGAATTAGTAAAAACTAAAAATGTTTACTAATTTGAATTACTGACTGCGACTGTTTGCTTTAGAAATTAGAATTAGTAAAGTTTACCATTAAATTAGTAGAAATTACTATTTAATGGTAAAATAAAAAAATTTATTAGTAAAAGTAGTAAATTTGACTAATAAATTAGTAGAAATTACTATTTATTGGTAAAATAAAAAAAATGTATTAGTAAAATTAACTATAATAATCGTCTTATTTGACAGATCGAAAAAATGCAGGTATATTTTTTCTTGATTTATAATAAAACAATATTTGAAATTATAAAATATAAAAAAATTATAATTAACAAATAAATTTTGTTTATTATTTGCTTTTTTTCTATAACAAACTTCATTTGATCGAAATTATGCAAATTTTTCTCCTTTTTATTTACAAAAAAATATGAGAAAATTGTTAATTGTTAAAAAATTATAATTTAAAAATAGGGGATATTTTATGCATAATTTATATTTTTTAATAACAATACTGTTTAGAAACTCATTTTTTTTTCTTTTGGAAAAGAAACATTACATATTCTATTCTATTTGTCAATTACAAATTTTAATTGAAAATGAAATTGAAACTTTTTAAATTTTTAGAAAATAAAGGAAAAAATTTTACTCAAAAAAATTTTCTGTTACATTTATTTACGAATTTCTTTAATTGTAAAAATTATTTGAAAACATCAATAACTCTTTTTTGAATAAATATTTAAATATTATTTTTTGGTAGGAATTAAAATTTTTCAAAACATTCAAATTCAAATCTTTTTAAATTCAATAACTTATAAAAGTATTGTTATAAAACATGAAGATATCGATTGCTCCGAGTCTTCAACTCGGAGCAATCGATCTCTTCATGTTTTATAATAATTAAAGCTGACCAAGTAATAAAATTTTTTTTCATTATTTTGTAGCATAAGAGTATTGATACTGTAACTTAATCAAAATTATTTTCATCATTTTAATTCAATTATTATTTTCTAGAATTTTAAATTATTTTTTATAATTAAATTTCATAATTAAATGTTTTGCATAAAATTTTATTAAACTTTTTTTTAAATAATTGAATTATTTTTGGAGAATTTTATTAAAATAGTAGATATTGAAAATCATTAAAATTAGAAAATTTTTTGAAAATCATTGAAATTTTTCCAAGAATTTTATTAAACTTTTTGAAAATAATTGAAATTTGGAGAAGAATT